ATATAGCACCAATATTTTTGTTAAAAATCTATGGCCTTCATTCGGTTAATATGAACTGTGTACATCTACATCAATAACAAAATGTATTCAGCTGAGGGTGAAAAGTTAGGTACACTTGCAATATATCAATACTATATTGTTTTCCACAATACCTCAAATGATGCAAGCGGTAAACAAGTTAGTATAATTATGTAGCTTCCCTAGAATAATAAACAAAGATATGAAATAAAAACTTACCGGAAGGTGATTAAATGCAATAAAATTGCTTTCCAAAAATGCAATAAGATCCATAAGATAGCCGCTTGGATGACCCTTTGGTTCATCCAGTCTCCAGTTGTAATTCTCAAGACTCAGAAACTCGTCCATCTTAGCATTCAGTGTTTTATATATCTGCTGTTCTGCCTCATTCCTGGCATCTTTAAAAATGATGACACCTTGGAGACTTGTTGCAGTTTTACTGTCAGCTGAAGCACTTGAAATACAACAAAAGAGAATTTGTCGTTTAAAGTTACACTCTTGAGAGAATTCACAAAACTTTATTGGATTTTGGGACCATTATTTGACATATTTAAATTGCCAGGAAAAATCAAGGAATCGCCAGAATTTGAAATAAACCTGTGGTCAAAGCACCACATCATGTTCAATATTGGTCTTGTGTAGCATACATGTATATGCAGCCATTAACTTGTACTGTTGGTAATTTCAACATCACAGGGTTCTATTTCTATTCGTATTATGAATGGATCAGAATAATGTGACAGATTAACTATGATTCAAATCAGAGAGAGAATGTTGCTCAAGGGTTTATAGTTATATAGTTATCACAAGTCTCATATATTCAATAAAGCCACATGTACATTTCCGTTGACAATAATACATTGAAAAATCAATTATCATTACATGAATATTAATTGCACACTTGATTCATACAACTCTATGTAAGATCATGTCAGTTTTAGTTACCTTCTAACTTACATTAACACATCACTAATTTTTCTCTGTTTTATCCAAGAAGGCTTTCAATAGATGATGTGTTAAAAGGGTTGTTAATTCATGCATGGTTTTGGAAAAGGTATAAAAAATATGACGAATTGTTTAGCCCTCTTTTCCATAATGCAGAACACAAGCCATTCCACACACTCATGCAAATATACCGTACTACATGATAGGTACTTG